GGAAAACGTATTCCTTTCACAATCCGTTCGCCGAGAATTCTTCTTTTTTCACTTCCATCTGTCGATAAGCCTTGTTCTTCACATCTCTTTGTCGCCCATAAATTCACCGCTTTGAATAACTCTATCTCTGGAATATTCAAAGTGTCACGCTCCACTACTGCTTCAAATAAAGACCTCTCAATTGTCGCGAACTCATCTGATTTCACAACCTCGTCTGTCTGTTCATCGATCACTTTCCAGCATTGATCCACCAGTTTTTTCTCTTCATGTTTCTGTGCTTGTGGCAGGATGCTGAAGACATTTGATGGATCTAAGGTATCTTCTAGATACTCGGTGCATTTATTAGCCAGTGAAGGCACCATGTATTTCTTCGCCAAATACAACACTCCCATCACATTACTTCCGCTTAAATTTACTTCGTCGCTGTAGATGTAACGAAACAGCTCCAACATACTGTCGTACTCACAGTCAGGCAGTTCAACAGAGTCTATAGTCTCCGCCAGCTCACCGTAAAACATGGCTTCAAACACAGGACTGCTAATCGACAGCAGAAACTTGTGAGCAGGAATCACTTGTTTACTATCACTTTCGCCATTGGCCCCCCAAGCAACAAACTTCACATCGCTGAAGAGTTCATTGTTGAACATAAACTTGCTTCTTTCTCTGATTGTCGGTCTTACTGTTTGCCAGCTTTTCTTTGCGAGGATAGACATGGCTCTCTGGGTAAAAATGGTGCGATTTTCAGCTCTCGATCTTTCTCAAAGTACGCGTTGTTTCTGGAAGTCAATCAGCACAGCGGTAGTTGAAGAAATTTTGCATTTCATTTACCAACCTGTTACGCGTCACGCTAATAGCTAGGGGCAAGAGGGAATGAGGTAAGCACGGACAAAAACAGGCGGCAACCATTTTGGAAAGTAGGATGAACCCTGGTTTTTAAAAAACTTATTTTCCCTTCTTCATGCTGCTTCTCAACTGACCGAATGCCTGAAACAATCTTCCAAGCCTGGGGAGGTGAAGCCTCGAGGAGAAAGGGAAGTTACCGAGTTGAGATTAGCCTGCAAAAAGGCTCCCGGTGAGCCCGAACGAAGCGACTCCCTGCCTCGATCGCTTTGCACTCCGAATTCTTGTGTTTCGCGCTGGCCGAAATTTTTTTCCGTCCTCGCTGGGAGCCTGTTCGCAGGCTAAGTTGAGATCGATTTTCCCGCGCGGCTTCTCGGCCGCCGAAGAAGCACACGCTTGGAAAATCCAACCAGCTTCAAGCTACGAAGGCTACATGTACAGTCCTGCTAACTTTAATCTTGCTCGGAATAAAATAAGAAAGAAAATTATCAACCTCACTCCGATCAATAATGAACAAGCGCTAAAACCGAAACGCGTCATTTCCCCATAAAATGGATGAAAATAGATGTAGCCTCAATTTTTAATTTAATATGACCGCTTATGCAGTATCCTGTATGTACTGTACTGTTTATTTATTTATTTATAATTATAATCTTCTAAACTCTTTTAGCTGTTTACAGTAGTAGAAATAAACTGTTGTTGTTGTTGTTGTTGTCTTTCCTGTCCACACTCGCTGGCTGCGCCCGATCTCGTTTTGAGAACCCAGCATTTAGCAGTGTGCTCTCTGATGAATAATTTACCAGTAGTAATCAGAGATTGAATGAGTGCGTTATACTTTATGGATGATTCTATTGTTTAATTTCTTTTTTCAGTATGCTGACTGTATGACTCTGTTATTTTATAATAGTTGTACTTTTACAA